CAGCGCTGAAACTTGGTAAATCTAACGTAGGTGTTCAACATTAGCGCTGCTAGCTCCGGTGGCATAGCTAACACCAGTGGCCATCGCATCTATTGGGATGGCTTATAACTTTCTTCCAACAAGCAGCAGTATTCTACCATTACGATATTCACTGTTTTCAACACTTTTTATTGCTGAAATTGTAAATAAGCTTTACAGGAGAAAATGTTTGACGTGGGAAAGTCCTTAATCCTCTACATGCAAGCATCCATAATACAGCACAACCTACGACACATAACCAACACTCGTACTCATGATTATAAACATCAAAGATGAATAAGAATATCTGTCAGAGAACATAATCTCAGTTGTGTGTTATCTCCTACGTGCAGGAAAAGGCATCGCCGGGACGTAGGTTTCCTGTAATCACGCTGTGTATTTGATCCTGACGAGTCGCAATCGATATTAGTGGGATTCAAAGTACAACGATAAATGAGTTGAGAAGGTCAAGGGCAGAAAATACACCGCAGAATACCACTGGACAACTCCAAATTTTTTCTGGGGTGCTTGAAATGCTTCTTCACGTTTGCTTACTCTGGTCCATTCTGACAACTGCAACTTGTTTATTCAACGTTTATCCCAAAATAAAACTAATTTCTCACAAAGGAGATCCTGGAAAACCTTTGTTTCTAACTCCACTAATTGAAGCCGGTAGGATCAAGGAGGCCCAAGATGCTGCAAAAGTAGGACCGTTGAGAGGGGCAGAAAATGTAACTAGTTTTTCTGGTTATCTTACAGTGAACAAGGCATTCAACTCTAATTTGTTTTTCTGGTTCTTCCCAGTTGAGGTAAGAAACGTGATATGTGTCATATGAAGTGAGATTTGTAACATAACATTCTTTCATTCATATTAAAAATGAACCACTATGGGACATGCCACAGGCAATCTTCACAAGATGCCAGCAGTTTATATGGCCTGAGAGATGCAGTGTTTAAGTCACAACATTCATTTTCTGTTTGTTACCTTGTGGAAATTAAACATCGCACTAATGTACTCTTGCATGCTTGCTTATGAAACAGGCTTTGAAGGAAAGGAGAGCCTTCATTTAACTATAGTGATTAGTTTATACTGTGTGTATACATATTTCATCACTGCAATGCTTCACACACACTGGCTTGGTGTCACTTCATATTTAATTAAACTTGCCTTTGGCTGGGTTCTTTGAAATTAAATCACTCTTGAGCAACAAACTTAGGAGGGTAGAGAAGGAGGAAAGATGCTGAAACATGTAAAAATGACAAAGATTCTGAATATAATTTTAGGGAAGATGCTGAAACATGTAAAAAGGACAAAGATTCTGAATATAATTTTAGGGTTTTCAAGTTCTGTATTGTATCAAGCATGAGAGAGGGACATATTTTGTGCCATTCTTGCATAAACAGCAAGCAGCATAGATTTAAAACATATGATGTACAGCTGTTTTTCTATAATGAAACACTGTTAACTTTTGATTCTTCATGAGACTCAGTATGAAGGCTTCTAGTGAGAACATCTTAATTTTCCTGTTCAGCTAGGATTAGACCCAGCTCTTTCTTCATAACTGAAGATGGAGACAGTATATGTCTCAGAAATGTCGGTATCTATCTAGAAGTCGACACGGCATCAAAACCCAGAAGACCAACAGACATTAGGTTACATTTCCTCTTGAAATGAAAAATCCTGTTGTGGCATATCCCACTGTTGTTATTTTGCCATATGAATAGATGAAATATTCCATACTAAAAATGTTTTGATTCAATGACCACTTTCCTGACCAGTAAGTCAACAAAGGGCAGGTAATGTAATAACTCTTGACACATATCAAAATGCATACCGTATGCATGTACTGTCACAGAGTTTCTGCTGGCTTCTCAGCTGCTTTGTATAAAGCCATAGTGCACTTGTCACATCTAGTTTATTATAACACATTTTGACCATATTTCCTAAAGGATAAAAGAATGGTACAGTTGGACACTTGCTTTAAAAACTACTGTTATATCTGTAAAGGCTTATCAAGGACAATATTTTTTTTTTTACAAAAGTGTATGGAACTGAATGAAAGTTTGTTGTAGCCAAAGTTTAAACAGTTAAGTAATGGTACCTCAAAATTCTAGCACTAATATACTACAATAAAAAAGAAACCACACATTTATTTCAGAGAAACATACATTTCAAAATACAGAATTGCATAAACAAACTCACCTTTACAACTTCAATCTTCCCTAATGAAAGTCACAAATTTACTTTCCACACCATAATACAAAACTTCTTTCACTGTCTTTGTAGTATGTACTGAATTGGAGGGAAAAATTACCTGTTAACCAGGATAGCCACACTTAGAAAAAGCAAAGAAAAATAACAGAATAAAGTACTTAACACTTTCAACTGTTTGGCTCAGAATTCAAACTGTTCAAATCTACACCTTCTGAAATGTACCCCATTTTCCCTTTTATTGAGGGGGTGAAAAAGAATTTGGGTGAAAGAATATGTTTCTTTTCTGTGAGTTCAGCCCAAAAGAATTTATTGAAACCACCTGGAGAGCCAGTGGACCAGTGATAATGAGCTATATGATTGTGTTACACAACTATAATTATGTAGAACTGATTTCCAATTATCATAATTACAGGAAACTAATAAGACATAAATAATGACACTATTAAAGAATTTATTATATACCTGAGTGTTGAAAACTTGGACTTAGTATTGAACAGCCATGATGTAGACTCAAAATTCAACACATTCTTAAATTTCTTAAGAAATGTGGGAGTGAGTTTCCCTGCCAAAACAGAGAAAAGGATGTTTGAAAATAATGAAGGAATCAAATATCTTGCAAACACAAATGAGATCTTTACCTAAATTGTCAGTCTAGTAATAACCAAATAATGAAAATTCACTACAAAAAATATTGCATAATACTAACACATGTATGAATTACAATGTATATATATATATTATAATCAGATAATGAAAATATAAGCAATGTGGAAAACCGTGAAAAAAGAAAATGGGAAATATTCTTCATAAGAAGTTATGCCATCAATAAAGATAAATGATAATTCAATACAAAAAATCGTCAACTCCTGGCATATTCTTTCAAAAGTTACTTCTTAATAATTATAGAAAGAATGACCAATAACACTACAACCACAACAGAAAACACAGCAAAGCACATTATTGAAGCAATTCCTAAAACCTTACCAAATATAAATCTTATACCCAAAATAGCAAATAAAATTAATAATATAATAAATTCTCTCACAACAAAAATGAATGTGGGTATGAGGACATATCAACAACTTTACTCTAAAGCTATGCAGACTACATAAGTGTTCCTATGAGTTATCTTTTCAATGAATCAATGGCAGTAGGAGCTTTCCCAGAACAACCTAATTCAAAAGTTAAATTCTATATAAAATAATCTTGCATACCTAATTATAGACTAATTTCATTACCATCAGCATTCTCTGAAATATTTGATAAAATTATGTTTTAAGAGAGTAACTGATTTTGTAAACTTAAACATCCTTGCTGGCGATCAGTTTCCTGAAGGGAGTGAGTGAGGAAACCCAGAACTGCTGATCTGAAATTTGAATGAAGGACCTCACAAACATAGAGCACACATGCCAACCAGTATGCCACAAAGATCTGTGCAGAAATGTAAAAAGTAATTAAGAATAAAAATGTTTTTTTGTGACTGACAAATTGTGTGTTTATTTTCTGTTTAGATTGCTAATTATACATCTGCTCCTGTAATTCTGTGGCTACAAGGAGGTCCTGGGGCATCATCCTTGTTTGGGCTGTTTACAGAAAATGGGCCATTTTCAGTAAATAGCAAACTTTACTTGAAACCCAGGAAATTTTCGTGGACAAAAACTGCTTCTGTCATCTATATCGACAATCCAGTTGGAACAGGTAATACGAAAATTCAAGCCTTTTTTTTATTGGTTTGTCATAAATTAAGTAAAACTAAAATACAGTATTCTAAATAAGAAGATATTAAGGGAAGATATTGCGGGTGTTTGAGAATAGGGCGCTGAAGAGATATTTGGACCTAAAAGAGATGGAGTGACTGGACATTGATGAATGTTGCATAATGATGAGCTCTGTAGTTTGTATTCTTCCCGAAATATTATGAGGAAAGATGATAAAGGTAGCACATGTGGGACATATGAGAAATGTATACACAATTTTGATTGGAAAGGAGGAGAGGAAGAGACCACCTAGAAGACCTAGGCATAGATGATAGGATAATATTAAAATGATCTCAAGGAAATATGGTTGGAGGATGTGGACTAAATATATATTGCTCAGGATAATGATTGTTGGTAGGCTGTTATGTAAATGACAATGAACATTTTGGTTCCATAAAAGGCAGGAATATCTTCATTAGCTGAGTGACTGTTAGCTTCTCAGAAGGAATAATTTCCATGGAGTTAGTCAGATAGATGATTTCACTGTGCTAAAAATACTAGATATTTTATGAAAATCATGAAATCCACTTACTGCATCCTTATGAGGCCTAGTAATTTTGTGTGCATCCTCAGTTTTTCATCCTGCTGTCAGTAAGATGAATGGAAATTAAAATATTTAAAAATAACCGTCAATCACAATAAAATTAAAAGATTAAAATATCATATTACGTTCCCTATCGAGTACTCGATTTACATATGGAACTTACACAACATGTTTCGGCTA